AGAGCACGGTGGATTCTTGCTACCATTCACAGAGATATTTCCACCCTGCACAGTGCTCTACATGTCAGATCCAGGCATTACTCAGAGAAAAAGCCTTTATGTGCTGTACGTTCATTCTCAGTGTGAAAGTGCTGAGCACAGCTCCTACCTGGAGGACCCAGAGCTGTCAATGATGGTACATCCACCATTTTAAAAACGGAGAGAGGTGGATCCAGCATCCAGAGCAGCTGCAACCAAGCTGCTTACCATTTTAAAAGCTCTACAAAGCATTAAAGATTACAGATAACACAATAAGGACAGATTCAGATATAAAAGACCTCTAAATGGGTCACATTGTTGAATTAATGTATGTTAGGCTTGGGAGAAAGAAGAAAAAGAGTGCAGAGAGTTATAAAAAGAATTAAGTTTTTTTTTAATAATCTTTAAAGAGACAGAGTATAGACAGTTATAGGTTAAAAGAAATAAAGAAAAATAAGCCATGTAAAGATGGACTATATATAGAAAGTCTGGAGTATGTATATTATTGTATTTTCTTTGAATTTTTTGACTGTGAAGGAGCTAAGTACAGAAGGATATTTCATTATACAGGTTGCAAAACTAAACCAATGTAAAGGTATATTGACTTTAAAATTTGAGTGTATGGATATGTTGCTTTGGAAAAGATGTTCTTCTTTTATTTCCACAGAAGATGAGAACCTGTGGATTGCTTCTAGACTGATATAGCTTGATGGACCAAGACCTCCTGAAAGGTCATCCTGAACACCCTTCAAAAAATTACTTAACCCAATAAACAGCAGGAAGAAATTTAGACAGAACTACAGCCATATTACCAAGTATTGTATATAAATGTTTGTTTACATTTAAAGGAGTGTATGCTATAGAGATGTATAATTTGCTTTAGTATGGATCCTGGTTTATTAATAAAAATTTAAGGTCAATTTTGTTATACCATATATATGTATTTCTGATCTTGATTACAGTATTGTATTTGTACAGATCATTTAAAAATGTAATGTATAATTAAGAAAAACAGGTTAATAGATAATCATCCATAATAGTCAAGCTTGTAGTCATGTTAATTAGATTTTATAGATTACGGAGATTTTTTTTCGGTTAGATAGGTATTCTTCAAATCTTTCAGAGACCTTCAGAATATGACATTTATAATGTTGAAGAACTTAAAACTTTCTATGACAGTGAGACACATCTGCTCCTGGCAGCACCAATTACTTCAAGAGGATGATGGGCGTCGAAGAGGCTCTTATGGAATTTGCTAGCCATTTGGTGAAGAAACTGCTCTTGCCTGTACTGCTTAACTGGACATGCAGGCCCCACAAAAAAAATGACTGCTGAACTTGCCTAAAGGTGAAATGGTTTTTCAATGTTCCTGCTTCATAAAAGACTCTACTAGACATTCCGCAAGATAGAAAATAAAGTGACTGGCAAACTGCCAATATTTCTGGAACTGTCTTTGAAATTTCCTGCTTTCTGAAAAGGTATGCTGATACTATGGGCCTGTAGGCTGAAGATTGATGCCCCAACGGTACAGAAGAACTTAGGGTGACTGTCCAGGCGATGAGATGTCTCTGTCAATTCTAGAGTTTTGGAAGCTTCTTAAAATGTACTTCCTGTTTACTTAGGTAATATCACATCCTTCTTGAGTCTTTGATGGAGTTGAAGAATTTATAGTTATAGTTCCTTAGTTATGATAACATATAAAATAGATATAAATATTGTAACTGTTATTCTTGCTAGATATGGGTTTTGTGATATGTAATTTTACTACGTTAAAGTTAAAGCCTTCCTTTTTGTTTAAACAGAAAAGGGTAAATGGTGTGCATGTGTCCTACTGTGTATGTGCTGCCTTTATTGGTTAATGCTAAAAGGAAGAAGGGCAGAGTCAGAGAGAAGTCATGGAGCCACCAGAGACATATGTTAGGAACTTTACCTGGGAAGCCACAGTCACATGGTGATATACAGATTAATAGAAAAGGATTAACTTAATATGTAAGAGTGTGGCAATAGGGGGAGGGAAATGGGAGGCTGGGAGGAGGCAGAGACTTGTTTTTTTCCTTTTCTCAATAAAAGAAAAAAGAAAAAAAGAGTGAGCCAAGAAGAAGCTAGAATAAGTGGGTGATGCAATGATTTAATTAATACAGCTTTTGTGTGATTATTTTGGGTCTAATTTAGCTGGGTGGCCAGGAAGAACTAGTGGCCTCTTCCAACATTCCATACTAACACTTAAATGCTCCTTAATTTCAGCTGTCTCTCCTCATATTCTTTCCCTTGAAACCTCTTCCTCCCCTCCCAACTTGATATTCCCATTCCAATCTCCCCTTCCTCATCAATTCATAACTGTATTCAATTTTGTCTTCTTAGGAAAATCCATCTTTTCATCCTAGTCCTTTCTCTATATCTAACCTTTGTGGTTCTATAGATTCCTTGGTTATCAAGGGTTTAACAGCTAATATTTATATATAAGTGAATACATACCATATTTGTCTTTCTGGGTCTATATTACCTCACTCAGGAAGATTATATTTTAATTTCATTATTTTCTTATAAATTTTATGGTTTCATTTTTGTTAACAGATGAATAATATTCCATTGTGATAATGTACCATATTTTCTTTATCCATTCCTCTGTTGAGGAGCATCTAAGTTGTTTCCAATGACCTGAATACCTGAGGTAATGGTTAAGACAGAGGAAAAGCTTGCATTCACCTAGTGTAGTAGTTCTAAACTTGTGGGTCCTGACACTTGGGAGGTCAAAAGACCCTTTCACAGGGTTCACATACCAGTGATTTATATCATAATTCACAAGGGTAACAAAATTACACTTATGAAGTAACAACACAAGTAATTTTATATTTGGGGGTCACCACAACGTGAGGAACTTTACAAAGGGTCACAGCATTAGGAAGGTTAAGAACCACTGATCTAGAAGTAGAGTTCATTCTTTCCTACGAGACACTACAATCTAAAGAAATAATTATAAAATTATGTAAGACTTGGAGTAAAACTATGGAATAGATATCTGTAAGTTGCACCCTGAAAAATCTAGTGATCCAGTTCTAATGCTGTTAAGTAGAAGAGATCAATTTCTGGACTGGTTTTCTAGACCCTACCCTCACGTAAAGCCTTGAGATTGTGATGCTGATTTAGGAGGTAATAGGAAACTCAAATTCCCTTATGGCAATTCCAGTGCTCAGAACTGGGAACATTTCTGGAACTGCCGATATATCCTCTAGTGCCCTGAGCTATCTGTCTCATTTCTATCTCATATCCTCAACATTCACGCCTTCTGAGGAGGCAACCACAACTGTCACTTAGGGATTTGGGACAATTACTGAATCTGGCATTTCACTGTTGAGTGGGGTAGTTGATGGGATCCATAGGTTACCCATTTAGTGGCCCTTATTGAAGGACCAAAAATACATTGGCTGTTCCATCTGTATAACAACCAGTTGTAAGAGGGAAAGGACATTTACTACCCTGTATGCAGATGCAGACGTGACATAGACATCATGGTAACAATCATTAGAAGAGAAACTATAGGCATGGAAGAAACAGAATATATTTCTGATGTTCAAATCAAAGTCTATTAGAATTCTTTGATCTCATAAAATCGTCTGTCCAATGGAATCTTCTACATCTATTTTTTGAACATCAAGTTTGGACTTGAGAGTAATAAAATCAGTACATGCCTTGTAAAACATTGATAGTTATTGAAGAAGTTACAATCTCAGTTTGTGTGACCCTTTGGGCAACTTCTGCAAAAAAAAAAAAAAAAAAGAAAAGATTAGGAAAAGTTCCAACATGCCAGGGCAGGTCATTTCCTCATCTCTTCACAGAAATAAAAGATATGAAAAAAGTATTATGGGGAATCAGGGAGTATCCCAGTTGGGTTAACACACATGACCATGGAAATTCCCTCTTGTGGTTTTTAGACTCAATTAATAAAATATATAAAGGACAGAATAAAATGTAATCTCAAAGTCAAATAACTATAGTTCAAAACAGTATAATCATATTGTTATGGCAAGGTATAAATCTGGCAGCTGCCCAGAGTAGGAGAGTGTAGAAGAGAAGGGAATAAAATAAAATACAAAGTTTGAGGTAAGATTACCTCAGTTAAAGGGCAGCCGGCACTGACAGTGAAGAGGGGACCTTTACAGGATAAGGAAGCCCACAGAAATAGGGTGGTAAAAGCATATGTAGGCTTGGGTCAGCATCCCAAAGAAAACAGCAGAAGAGGACAAAAAGTTGTTCCATCCTTCTGAATCACAACAAAAGAAAACATTGTTCAGCCATGTTCCTTGTTCCTCTGTTCATTGATTGGAAGTAACCTGGATATCTGTCAACAGATGAATGGGAATAGATGTGGAAAACTGATACAATGAAACATTACTCAGCTGTTAAAGGATGAAATTATGAATTTTTTTGGTAAAAGGATGGAACTAAAAAATAATCAACATGAGGAAACAGAAACACAAACATTGCTTATTTGGTTGTTAAGTCTTCATTTAGAAGGCTACAATCTGTGGAACCAGAGGTTAGCTACAGGGTAGTGGACCAGGGAGGAGGGATGAATTTCGCTAGGAAGGGACTTAGAGTCGACAAACATGGATGGTTGAGAGGGCTGGGGTAAACAGTTTGGGTTGTTTTTATCCTTGGGTTGAATGAGAAATATGGGAGATTAATGTACTTTGACACTCATTTCAATATGGAAGTTTTTTATTTACTTTTGATGACAACAAATAAAACACAGATCTTATATGGAAATTCAAATAAGATTTTTTTTAATGAGAACACATACTCCGAATAATGAATTAAGAAAACAGAAAACAAGACAAAAAAGAGTCAGTCAACTTGACCATTTTTTGTCACAGGCCACATTTGGTGTAACTTTAGGCTCTTTCAAAATCTATGTAGACACAATGGCAAATGTTTTCTGTCATTGCTGGATTTTCAAGGTGGTGTAAGATCAAAATTTACTTTTAAATTTTAGAATGGGGTGTCTTGAGCATGGCTGAATTTGAAGGAAGGCAAATTTTGCCACTTATTAGAAAGAAAATTGCAGCTACAGTTGCCAAAACCATGGCACTACCAACCTTCTGAGTGTCTGGGTCAGAAGGCATATTAAAAGATGGTGGAAAGGCAACCCCCCATTTATGAATGATGGATATGTAATTGATCAAAACAGCCAGGAAAAGTAAGCTGCTAGCAATGATCTTCAGAATTCCTGAAAGTCTGAATAGTTTGCAAGTGACATTCCTCCACACTCTTTCCACACACAGAATCCAAAGAGCAATAATGGTAGTGATTTTCCCAAACAGCCCAAAAAAGCTAGCCACCAGCAGCAGGTGCTGGTTTATTTGAATATACAGTGGAATGAAGGAGTCACTGTAGTTGTATTGGTGACATATTTTCATTTTTCTGGAGTTGTTGCCTTTGTGGAAAACACAGGCTTTCCACATGCCCACAAAAGCCCTTGTAGGCTTGGAAATCATAGGGTCTTCATAGTACCACACTCGCCACTGAGGAAGGCTCAAAGACATGCAGCAAAGTAGACAGGCCACTGTGGTCAAAACAAAACCTCCCATTTGGCGATTGTATGTATTCAACATGCTGCTGACAGTGAATACTTGAGATCTGCAAAGGTACACAGGACAATGTGAAGATAGTTACTCAGGACAAGGACAGGATACTCAGGTTTAAAGTACTAAGGGGAAAGTATTATATATGAGAGAGTGAGCCTTGCATGGAGATCTGCTGACTTGGATGTGGAATGAGAAAAGCCTGAGAAGCCCCCTGTGTCAATCTGTTCAGGCAGGTAGATAATCTAATCAACACACCCTCTACACTGTATAATTCTGCATTTGCCACAAACTTCTGGAAATCCCATTGCCTCTCCTATCCAAGGGCTAGTATGAGATGCATGAGACCCTACATCTGATCTGTTGCATGATATCCTCAAGGGACACCCGTGATTAGCAAGTGTGAGAAGTTTTTCCTAGTGATGTGTCAAACATTGTCTCATTATTCATTGTTCTTGGGTCTTTGGATTAGCTCAAAGCTTTGCCTGTTATGAACATCACCATATGAATGAGCATGGTACAGGAAACTTTGAGTGCACACATTGTGTTGTCATTTCTCTTGTGTAGATACTGAGGCATCAACTTTGAGGAGAAATAGTGTGAAGGTCATGTAGTTTTCATTGTGGAATTTATAAAAATATTTCCCAGAAGTTGCATGAATTTTACATACCCAGTAGCAAATCTAGAAGTTTTCAGTTTCTTTATGACATGCTTCTCACTTGCTGAGTACAATACACCAGCACACCAATGCTGAAAGAGATTAAGTAAATGGAAACTCATAAGGGAATAGAAAATTAACTTACTCTGGAATATGCAATATGAAACATATTATATATGTTATCTTACAGCAACCCATTTCATTCTAATATTTAAAATATGTCAAATTCTAAGAAAATTTGTGAACACAGCTGGTGCTAACCCCTAGGAAATTGTAAAATACAGAGAAATTATATTTATAGCTTTATGTTTAGTTGTAATTGTCTACTTGAAACAATATAAGAATGATCAGAGAAGGCAGTCTCACAGAGTCTAGATTTGGTTTGTCTTTAGGCATGCCTGTGAGGGATTATTTTGATAATGTTAACTGTAGAAGGAAGACCTACCCAGTGTGGGTAGCACCATTTCCTAGGAAGGGGATTATGAGCTGAATGTGAGTGTAGAAATGCATATAAATGCTAAAAGGAATGTATTCCTTCATTGCTCCCTCTTCTGGATGATGGCTATCTTGTGCTTAGCTGCTTCAGGATCTTGCCACCCTGACCTCTTCTGATTAATGTGTCTTGACCTGGAAAAGTAAGCCAAATAACCCTTTTCTCCAGTAAGTTTTTTTTTATAATATTTTATGCCAGAAAGAGGAAAAGATTAAGACATGCAGCATAAGTTGTATCTATTCATTCATGCTTGCATTTTCTTCTGTCTTCAAATATGCCAGGTAGACATTAAATATGATAAATTTGAGTCCTTGGAATCAGATTGGTCTAACTTTGTTTTAAGCTTAGAAGTCTATCTCATTATTTCTGCCATTGATTTTTTTGGTTTAGTTTTTTTGTTTATAGTAGACAGGCTCTTACAATGTAAACCAAATATTTTCTAACTTCATATGTAGTCCACATTGGATTCAGACATGAAACAAGCCTTCCTCAGACTCTGAGTGCTGAAGTTATGTGCTTGACCACTATTCATAACTTGTGTAAGAATTTTTCTAATGATGATAACATTTGCAATGTGTGTGTATGTGTGTCTGTGTGTGTGTGTGTGTGTGTGTGTGTGTGTGTGTGTGTGTGTGTTAGAGGTAGATTCCCAGGACAACTGCATGCTAATGAAATGTTCTACCATGAATTTATACTCCTATAATTGGAAGAGCATTTTTCACAGGCTCCCTAACAATCAAATGGAGGGCACAGAGTGTTAGAAATGAGGAGAGTGGATGCCAAGTTGTGCCTGAGACCTGCTCTGAAATTAAGGCTCAAATTATCTGTCTAGTTTGGGTGCAGGCAAATGGCGAATGTAGTTGAAGGTGAATGGAGAGAGTGAGGTAGAGAAGTCATTCAAATCAATCTCTAGAAAATATTTGGGCAGTGCCTAGGAGTCTTTCTTAGTAATACTTTGGACAGTGACATAAGGCGAGGGATTTTTGAAGCTGGAATTTGTTATTATTACAAGAGCCTTTCTGTAAAGGGCCTTATTAATAACCATCATTCTTTTTGACCTGATAATCCTAAATTCAATTTTCTGTGTTGCTGAATATTAAATCTGGGTCATTATGGATACTAGAAAAACACTCTGCTACTGAACTATTATTATTAGACATGATTGTGAAAGATGAACAAGCATATCTTATTTCCAAGAGTATTTCAAGGATACATTTTTTTTTTGCTTAGGATTTTTTTCTTATGATCTGAGAAATGGCCTCATTGAATAGGCCTAAATGCTCTCATGATCATTCTGGAGTCCAAAATGCATGTCAAGTTGTGATCCTCTAGATTTTTCCTATACCTGAATACTAAGATATACTTATAAGAATAGAACTTAGAAGGAAATGAATACTAATTCTTGAATTACTTCATGAGCTGAATCCAGGTTTCCTGTGCTCTACAGTGTTTGGTGATGTAAAGGAATACAGATGCTTTTTTTTTAAATGCTCCAATCAGAGATTTGATTAAAAAACCTGTTTTAATTGTTTTAAAAACCTGTGGTATTTCCGTGGGCCCAATCTTCTCCTTGCAACTCTAAATGATTCAAAAGAATCTTGTATGTGGTTACCCTCAGAGAGTTCATAGTGAAGTTATAGAATTTCCTAAGATAGAAGTGGGATAGCCCTGTGCATGTGAAGGTGATGAGAAGAAGCAGAATTACCCAGAACACAATGATAAAGAGAATGATAAGCTCTATGCAAGAGATTTGCAGATCACAAACATGGCTTTTGCAAGTAACATACTAGTTGAACAGACTAACAGCTCTAGGGGTCAGAGAGGAACAAGTAATGATCAAAGTTAAAAATCCAAATATGGCTTCTATTAAGCACATTAACTCTTACACACAGTATTGTTTTTTGGGTTTCTTTGCTGATGTTGTTGTTTTAACAGCATGATGCTGTTGAATCACCATAACTTAAATCTTCTCTACAGATTATCTTCTAGTGATGACCATTATATCGCAGAGGAAAACTAAATGGGAGTATATCCTTCCATTTATTTTACATTTTCAGATATTTCAATCTATAGACTGATGTGGAAGTCCCCTCTGTATGCCAGGAATATGGTTTTTTTATTTGCCATTGGTTAGTAAAGAAGTTTCTTTCAGCCAGTGGCTTAACAGAATATAGCCAGGCTGGAAAAGATATATAGAGAGAATAGACTGAGTTGGGGAGACACCATGTAGCCACCGAAGAAGACAGATGCCCAGGAACCTTACATGGTAAACCACGAGCTTTGTGGTAAAACACAAAATAATATGAATGAGTTAATTTAAGATGTAAGAGCTAGCTAGAAATAAGCTTAAGCTATTGGTCAAAGAATATTGTAATCAATATAGTTTTGTGTAATTATTTCAGGTCTGGGCCATCAGGAATTGAACAAGCAGCCTCTGTCTACAATAGATTTTGACTATGATTTTCAGGGATGAGAAAACAGAACAGCTCTGTGATGGGATTAGGTGGCTGTGGCTACTTATCTTATAGTGGAAAGGAATAAAAGATAGAATAGGTTCTGGGGATGAGAGAAAATCCCCAATGGCATTCCTTTTGAACTTTACCTCCCCCACATATATACTATCTCCTTATATTTACAGAATATTCTGAAATAGCACCAACAAGTACAGTTCAAAGATTTAATATGTGAAACTTTTGCAGGAACAAGGTATAACACTACTAAACATGATACAGAGTGTTAGTATCCAGGCATACCTTGGTAATATGCCTGGGAAACCTGGAACAGTGCATCATGTACGGTGCCCTGTGTCACGTCTGTGTGCATGGCAGACAGTACCCTGTCCCTTTAAGAGACAAGCTGTAGCACGAATAAAAAAAAATAACTCAGCTATAGAAACTGGGCTTCAATCTGCAAACCAGAAAAACAAAGCACTCAACCCACTAGAGAAATCTTACCTCTAGCCTGGCTGGGTGACCCTAAACTAAGCAAACTAAGTCTCTCCTCTCATTTTATATTCCCTGTAGCGCTGGGATTAAAGGTATGAGCTACAACCACCTGGATATCGTGTAGGCCAGGGTGGCCTTAAACTCACAGAGAACTATTTGTCTCTGTCTCCCAAATCCTTGGATTAAAGGTGTATGTCACCATTGCCTGACCCCTAGTGGGTTTAGGCAAGATTTATTTATCAAAATGCAAATAATATACCACTATATTTACCCTCTTTTGTTTAAAATAAACATGGCTATAAATAACTTAAGAAAAATTACATACAATAAGTAAAATGACTATATACAATATATACATGGAACGAATACATCAACAATGTCTAGTTCATTTGCATTTGACATATTCAGAGAAAATGGTCCACATCTATCCTATCTTGGTGAGTCCAAATTTTTGTACCTAATTTACTCTCTACTACAATTTACATTGCCATCCAAAACTACTTTTTGATATCTCTCAATCTTAAATACTTTACATTTCTTTAGTGAATTTCTTTTCTGAGTCACATGAACAAGGGAAACTATAGTTATAATTTTCTAGTCTTCAACTACCTCAGAGACTCAAAAAGGAAATAATATTAACTGGGTAAGCAGGAAGTGTAAGCAAGCTACTTCCAAAAAATGTGAGAAATGACAGAAATGTCTGGCTGTCTAGAGAGTCACCCAAAGTTCCACTGCAAAGTTGGGGTATCTCCATTTTTGGCCTACAGACCTAGTATAAATGGTACACCTTTTTGCGAATAAGGATTTCATGAAGGGTTTTCTCTCCTTGTCTCAACTAAGTTTGGTGTCTCTTTCTTTTCTGTCCTGATGCTTCAATTAGGACAGCATACCGTCAAGAGTAGAGGCAAGAGCATTTTATTTCCCAGTGGCTTAC